ACACCTGGAAGTACGTCAAGGTAGGCCATGGAAAACCGCAAGGCCCAGACCAAAAGACATGCCTCGGGAAGGTCCGAGAAGGTGTGCGTCTCCTAAGTCACACGCTGACCCGGTGCTGCGCCGTTTCCGACCGGAGGCGAGATGAAACCCCCCAGGGTTGCAGGTGGTTGGCCTTCCCGACTGGGCAAGAGGCCCTGGTACATGCCCCCAAGCCATACCTTCGAGGGAGCGCGCCCTACCTGCCAAAAGAACTTGTGGCTTGCAAAGCGGACATGCTGTCAACACCATCCCAAACTGGAAAACATGAATCCTGCTTAAATGAGAATCGGTTCAAACGAATCCAGCTGATTCCGTAAACTAAACTAAACTAAACTAAACAAACCAAACCAAACCAAACTAAACACACGCACACACACACACACACACCTATGGTGAACACCGGTCGAGTACTCTGACGTGTCAACTTCATCGCCCAGTTGAATGGTCACACAGACGTATGCCAATCAGTCATTTTGCTTGTCCAGGAAAGAACACATTGAAGGGAATATGTGTAACATATAGACTGTTCACATTCATACATACACGTACAGATGTACAAGTGTCTGTGTGTGTGTGTGTTTTCGGAACCGCTTTTTGGCTTTGGTTCGAAGAGAAACAAAAGGGAAAATCCACACAATTTTGGAAGTCCACAACCCTATGTTGACACATACCCATATACTGTACCTTGCTTTGCAAAAGGTGGCAGGCTGTTGGGCAAAGCCCTAGTTCGTGGACCACTCAACATCACAGCAAAGACACCTTGCAACGCACAGCTTGAGCGTGTATCATGTTCATTGGCTGCCCAGAGTATCATTGAGGTAAAATGTAGGCATGAGCAAAACAAACCACAATGTAACAAAGCAACGCCGGTAGACTTGATCATCTCTGACAGAAAGTCAGGGGGGTTGCATGATATGTCAGTGTTTCTCCTTTCTCCGCTGATTTTCCGTGATGTCACTGAATCCGACGGCAGAATGCAGCTACCACAAAGGTAGAGTGTCTTGATTTCGCCTCACCGGCTCAGCGCCGGACATTGTAGGGTGCTTGTGGCTGCTTCGTCACCAACGCCGGCACCCATTGGAATCCTTGCAGTGAGCAAAGGCGACATGTGACCTTTCGGGGGCGACGTCGTGAAGGCCGAAATCGGTGACCGTTCCGGGTGTCCATGTTCAACAATTGCCTTTGTTTACATAGCCAATGGTGGGCATGGCCTGAACTCGAATGTCAGATAGGATAATCATCCGGGAGTTGGCAGAAGCTGTAAGCAAGAATCAAGCTTGGAGAATCCTTTGCCTGTGGCAAGTCCATATGCCCGCTACCGGCTGCTGGCTAGCCTAGCATCTCTTCCACCTCTCGCTCTCTCTCTCTCTCTCTCTCTCTGAATGTGATAGTCATCCTGTCCATGTGAATCTTACATAGCCGCAGCCTGAAGCCCAATAGATACATCAACGAGAGAATCTCTTTGACCCGCGAAATCCAATTCTGACACGGCAGGGGTAGAATCCAAGCCTTGATTTGATCCAAAATCAGACGCCAAAGGCCTCAAAACGGCCTTTGCTGTTGGGGTCCAAAACCTTCCAATGGAGGCGGCCCCTTCAATGGAGGGTCCAATAATGCTTATGGTTGACATTAACATGACACATCTTCGACTCGGCGGTCCGAAACATGCGCTTCTCGGCTGATGGAGTAAGCAGCAATAGGCCAAAGCACATCTCACTGGAATGCTTGAAGAGTCAGTCCGTATCGGTGATTGGAAATGCCAGTAGTTGAAGCCCTGGTTGCCCTAAACCCAAGTAATAAAGCCGCGATAACTGCACCAGTCAGATATGCAAAGTGTTTGCCTATTGAAGATCCGCAACATACGCGACTTGGCAAATGTTTGACAAGACGGATCAAACAGGCTGCAGCCTCCTTCCTACCCAACAAGAATTGAAATCTAAGAGAAAACCAGGAATGTCCTTCTCAGATTCTTTCAAGCTAGCCAAAGCACCTTGTGCAGGGTATTTGGCCAACTTCCGACTTTTATTTATGTAGTTGGCTTCAATGACTAATCGAACTTCTCACGATTTCTTCAGCCGAATGGGAGGGACTTTCGGGACCAAACTAAGGCCACAAAGTCTCCAAACAAAATCTCAAGTACTGCCCAAAAAGCAGCTGTTGGGTGCTGATAGAACAAACAAATCCTGACTCTGATCTATATTTACCCGAAAACATTGTGGTAGTTTTGGGATCGGAGACCCCAACTTCGGTCATTTTGATACGGCGAAGCAAGCAACCCTCCAAGCACGCGTTCGTGTTTTCGGGTTGCCAAGCCCTTTAAGACAGGAACTCCTGGGCTCCCCGAAATCAGGTTTATTCCCCTGTTGCTACTCCTTTCGGAGACTTCATTTGAAGGAATCCCAAACGTTTTGCAGCCACAGGTTTTCCAGGCACTGGTTCTTTTTGTGGCGGGGCTTTCCCTGTTATCTTATTGGTCCACAAATTTGTCCGTAGCCGACTTCAGCCTCCACCTACAGGGCTTGAGCTAGCTGACCGCTCCAGGTCCGAGGCTCCGGGCCACTGGGTGCCGAGATCTCCAGAAACCCGTGGAAGTCCATGTCCAGCATGAAGACGACCTCAGCATAAGGGCCGACCAAAGCTGACGAAATCACCCCATGGGCCTATGGGTTTTTGTTTCTCCACCAAGGTGGACAAATGTATGTGAAGTGTACTACTAGATAACATGTAAGGAGTAAGGAGACAGGATGGTAACCACGCTAAGTGGCTACTTCGAATCCCACGCTAACTTTTAGCAGTAACCACGCCAGAAAAAGTCTGGTTGCAGAGGATGGAAATATCGGGTGCAGCCCTCCCCCTAGTCCCTGCACGGCAGGTCTCAAGTGAACACATTGGCTTTCTGGGTCAGTGGGACATCAAGTTGCAAGAGGGCGGTTGTGCAAAATGGCCCGGTGTGATACCAAAATATATCAAAGTGGGCCCCGCCACTCAAAAGTGGAAGAACCCTGCGGGGAGAGCCATATGAGTGGTGCCCAAAACTTGTTTTAGCTCTATCAAGGTGGCTGTGCAGGCTTAACCCTGACTACAACCTCCAAGAGAGCCTATTATAAACCTGCCAAACAGGATGCGCACAAACCGGTTCAGACGTGGGGGAATACTCCCTGGGGGGTCCACGGCCCTAACGTCGAAAAGATTGTCAAAGGCGAGACCTTTGAGAGCGCAAACAAGCAATCCATCCACAGGTGGGTTAAAGACAAGGCGAGAAAAACAAAGGGGGTGGTGTGTTTTTGTACGTCTTGAAACGCAGCAGTCTTGATGAAGCACCCTTCTGAATTGAACTGCTCCTCGTGATCCAATATATGGCAATTCTCGTGGCGGAATTTCTCCATGGATTGAGTTCAGACGCACCAAACAAATTGTGGGGTTGTCGACATTGCTGAAGCCCAGCCCAAATGGCGGGCTTGCTTCAAAAAAGACACTGACAAAAGAGGCAAACAACAAGCAACCTTGTCTGCCATGTGCCAGCCCTCAGCGTCCCTGCCCCAAATGAGCAGAAGGATCATCAATTCTAAGCACATGCAAAAACGTCGGAGGCATAGTCAAAGCCTGATACTAAAAGCACCGGCCCAAAACCGCGCAATTCATGTGAAAGAGTGACCCCACGTGCTCACGGTTGGGACTATCCCATATCCGTTTTGATTCTGACTCAGATCAAATCTTCAGGTTTCTATGGTCAAACGGACCTCCTCTCGAGAGAACAAACGAGACGAATTGTTGCGCTCATGAACGAGAATCAAACTACCAGTGGAATCCATCTACCTGGAGTCTCCATGACCAATCAACAAAAACTGGGGTCCTTACCCAAAAGAATGGGAACAGGGACCCACGTTTTATGGGTCATGGAGACTCCTTCTGCAACCAAACTGAATCCACAAAGGACACGTTGGGGCCATGCAAGGTTGGGGCCATGCAAAGTGGGGGTCGATGTGTCGATTTTTATAGGCGCCCGAGCTGTGGCTTGGGAGGCCATCTGCTGCACCTTGTAGGGCAACCAGCTGTTCAGGCTCACCTCGGATTTCCAGCTGGCCTTCAGGACCAGAACCCCAAGCGCCGTTCTGGGGTGGCACTGCTGGAGGCTGTTGCGAAGACACCGGCGGTTGGCGGCGAGGAGAAGGTGGAGTGTCCTCTTCGAAGTTGGGTTGCAACTCTCGTTGGCAAAGTCAAGCCAGGGAGGCCCCATGAGTCCCCAGGGGCATCAATGTTTATGGGACGCGCCTATTTTACCATCCAGCCAAACTCTGGTTGATGCTGGACCATTGCGCACGTTCGGTCCGAGCGTTGAAGCGGTGTGAGGCGCTCCGGTGCGAGGGTGGGACCCACATTTCTTGCCTTGCTGCAAGCCGCGCCCCGTGGCCCTTGATACAAACACGGGGTGAAGCATGCAAACAATTGCAAACTCTACGCAACATGAAATCCGAAAGGGAGGTCTCGCGAAACCGAGCGTCTTCTTAACATGTTGGTCTTGGAGTTACATGAAAATCGCCATGGCTGCAAATGTGCAAAGGTCCGAGCTCAGGGTGCAAAGGGAACTCGCTGCACGCCGTCTAGGCACTCAAGGGCAGCATGACGCTGGACATGCAAAGCATTCACGCTGCAATGCGTCAGCCCCTCTGGAACCAGCATCAAATATAATGTTGACTCGCAACTACTTAAGACTACAGTAGGTGACACCCACAGAAGACCGGAAATGCGGCATCCTCGTTGTAAGACCAGCCCAATGCTCATCAGAGCGTTTCAAAGATTTTTTTTTTCTAAAAAAAAATCATTTGGCTCAGTATGTTTTGTCACCATGCTCATTTCACCAAGGAATGGGGGAGAAAGGCCAAAATGGCCCATCCGGCCATGCTCTAAAATACACCAGCCAGAGGTCCACTTGGATGTTCCAATTATCTTCGTGTGCTATAACCACAAGTCCAAACGGCACAAATTCTCGGCTGGCATATCACCGTGGCTCCCACGAGTTCCAGTGCGCCTTTCGCCGATTTCTCCAGCGCCTCTCCGCCTTTCCCGGTGCCTCTCTCATTCCGGTTGGAAGTCCCGCAGGAACACTGTGCCCACCTGTCGCGTGGGTGCTCTTCAGCTACGCGAATGAGTTCCAATGAATGCAAAGCCACGGGAGCCTTGGGAGAATGGCCCATGGTCCAAATTAAGGACCCTTTTAACATGGTCCAATGAAGTCTCCTTAGTCACTAATAGTCATTTGTTGGGCTGCAATAGCCCCTTTGCTGCTACTCTGAATCGGTTTTTATGATGAACAGATTGTTTGATTGCTTTCACAAAATAGCAAGTGGAGGAGCCATGCCAAACGGGAAATCTAATTTGGTCAACTTGTCTATGTTTGTTGGGTAAGGATGGACATACGCAGCTGCGTGTTGCGTGTCTGTCATAGGCTGAATGTACATAACCCCTGGTATGAACCCCGAGCTTCTTGGTTAATTAGCCGTTACTTCTGGTTTTATGGGAAGTCATCCCAAGAGGTCCAACAAGGCCATGGGTTCAAATGCAATCCACTTAACTAATTACCTGCCAAAACTCACATCACCTCAGACAATGATCCAACACCTTCAGGATTGATCGGTTGAAAACATCTCAACTGCCTCAGCTTGGGCAACAGTTGCCCTCCCCAGCTGAGCTTGTCCCAAAATGAGCGATGTCCTTTTGCCTGGACAAAATCAAAGGGCCCCTCAAAAGGGAAGACATCCCCATTCCAAGACCCGTTTTGGGTCCTCCTTTTCCCCCCCCCCCAGATCCCCCCAGCCCCCGCCGCCCCCGGGATCCCTCGGGGGGCCCTCTGGGCGTCCCGACGTTGCCAGAGATGGTGGCCCAGCCCACCTGGCCCTTGGCTCTGCACATCACCCGCGGCAGCTTCTGTGAGCTCTGCTGCGGGCCTCGCGAGCGGCGGATCGCGGCGGCTGATCGCGGCGGCCGAGGAGGCCTAAGCCCCGCAGCCCAGATCTGGGGCTGGAGTTGGTTTACAAAGGATTTTCCCAAACCGGAAATGAGGGGACCCTAAGTTCAAAGGACTGGGGGGTCCTGCATGTCCGGTTTGGGAGTTGCACCATATGAAGTGTTCATATACTATAATTCCTAAACCCACAATTGGAGAAACCCCCATGACCTTCTTGTTTCACCAGAGCTCAATATAAATTGCCCAGATCCAAAGCTAGAGTTGTCGGGAGGTTTCAGGAGGGATGTGTGCAGCGGGTCAACCTCATGCCCCTTTTTGGACCCTGGGCGGCGCACCAAATGAGCCCCCATGTTCGACCCTCCTAGGGCAATCAGCAAAAACTTTGGGCCTAATTGGAGGCTGGGGGCTTGGGCTTCTTTGAAGGGTTGGCCTCTGTCCCTTCACAATGTGGCAAGACTTATGTCCACGTTTGGTGTGACGCGAAGAGACTCCTCAATTCTCAATGGCCCAACTTTCAGCAAATCACGTTGTCAGTTTATGGCTTCATTCTATGGGTGCGTCTTTTGTAGGGGAACCCACAAATGGTTGTTTTGCTTTTGAGTTTCCCTTTAAAGCCACCCAACAGAGGGTACCCTCAAACAAAAACACACCCCATATTCAGTCCACCCTGAAATATCAAGTTAATTTTGGAGCAGCCACGTTCCGAGGGTGGGCCCAGAATCAGAAAAACAAAAAACAGCTGTGGTTTTCGGAACCCGCCATGAACTGGTGGCTCCTGAACTCTCCCTGTTCAAAAACAAAACACAAATCGGACCTTCGGGTGCTTTGGTTCCTCCCAACAATCCGACTCTGCTCCCAAAAAAATCCATGGGACACATGACCCAACCTCCACCCCCGACCCCCCTCCCCGCCCCTCTGCCCCAACCCCCCTCCACCCCGACCCCCTGCAAAGCGCATGGATCCGCGTCCGTCCGTTTTGCGTGTCGCGTGCCTCCCAACACCTCCAGCAACTCGCCCAGCTGCAGCTCCCGCAAGGTCTCGGAACGAGGACGGTTTCACCACGGATTGGGGGACACCGGTGGAGTGGGAGGGGGGGGAGGAGGGGAGGGGGGAGGGGGGGAGGGGGGAGCGTTTTGAAGGGAAGTCTTCATATCCAGCGGCCTGTCGTCTCCAGAAGGTCCTGATGCTGTAAACATGGGGGGTTGACCTTGGATTTTGGGTAGATGAAGACATGGTCTTTCAGGGTCATGGAAACTGCGTGTACACGAGGTGCTGCCGGAAATGAGCGAAATACCCATACAGAACCTTGGGATTCCACAAACAAACAAGGGATTTGCCAGCAGGGTACGCCAGTTACTTGCAATTGTCGATGTGTGTTTTGTTTCTTCATGACTATATTCCATATTTAGTCTTCCTTAAAATATGGCAAATGCTTGGAGGAGACCCGAGACACCCGCAATGGAAGTTAGGATTGGAAAGAAGCTTACTATCTGACTTTCCATGAACTAAGTAAGGTGCTACATAAGATTGTGCAGTATTGCGAGCAAGGGAAACACCTGGAATTAAGTATCACGTCGAAACTATATAGGCTTCACAATAGTATATGATTGTTGCGATATTGTGAGTAAGGTGAACATCCATACTTCATTGTCAACTCTAAGCCACCAGTAGTGTGTTTCTGATGTAGACCATTCATGCTACCAATGTTTATGGTAGGTGACCGGCCAGGTAAGCACTGATATCCAAGCCAAAAACAAGGCTCCCAAATGTTCTTGCTCATGGAAGGCGTCTTGTGCAAACTCTCCTAGTGGTGATTGCTTCGAGCTGACTTTGTTTAATTCTGTCAAGGAAGTGCATCTAGCAAGGAGTCCTCGCAACTTGGTGGCAATGACGTAGCAACAATCGCTCTTCCCTGAACAACATCTACCTGGCACACATTCATCTTTTTGGATGTGTGAAACAATGCCCATGTTGTTGCAACTGTACCTCGTCAGGGGCAGAGTTCATGTGGGAGATTCCACTAAGCCTCACTCCTCGTGCCTGACGGCCCACGCCTCACCAGGGACCACCTGCAGGTTCTTGGTCAAAGGCGTGGGCCGGACCACCTGCCATCCAGCGAGGTTGGCAGCTCGCGATTTTAGCTCGGCTGGCTTCTCATCCCTTCACGGATGGCCAACCTGCATCAGGTAGCAGGGTCAAATTACAATTGTTGCTGGGATAACTGGAGTTGACTTAGAACCCCGGTTGTAATAGACGTTCCAAACTGATGGATTCTCTGGGCAACCTATTGGTTGGGTTTTCTTTTATTGAGGGTACTTTGTTGAAGGGAAACTAAAAAGAGAACCATCAGTTTTTGGGTCCCTCTATCCATGCCAGCCCATGCCAAGAAAATTGTCCCCCGCCCTGTCCCGGATCTTCATCATGTGTGAATTTGTTACATACACAATCCGTGATGGATTTGCCCAAATCCTCTTTAGAGGCAATTGTGTCGGACAACTCCTTTTGGCGCGTTGCACTTCAGTGTCAACCTCGGATAAATCCGAACCATCCTAGCCAGTGGTTCCCCAGAGGGGAACATTGGGATCCTCTGTGGAACTATCCAAAACCTGGAAACACATTTGTTTGAGGGTGGTGCACTTCAGTTTTCAAAACGATTTGTGGCTTTGTCTGGGAAACGCCTTCTTTGAGGGAGGGATTCAGATCCGATGGAAAGGCAAACGGCCTTCATCAGGTGCAAAATCGATCAAACAACCAAACCCTGGCCTTTTGATGCAAACCCGAGGAAGATTGCTTCTTAAATAATGAATCATTTGTGAAATTTAAGCAATGGCTACATGGGCCAACCCTGGTGACAACTCCGTTTGTCAGAAAATCAATCAACCAGGACTGAGGCCCTGCGCCACATACCAAGTTCCTCAAGCTATCCTTCAAAATTGGGCGACCAAACAGTTCTGCCTGTCCATGGCTTTTCTCAGGGTAGCTGAACTTAGAGGCAAACGCTGGCCGGCCTTTCTTGAGGGGCATCCACTTCCCATTGAATTGAGGAACACTCGTTGTGGACTATGACCTCGAGGGTCTGCCCAACCCTGGTGAGGGAGGAGCCAGACCCTAGTAACGGTGAGGTGGCCTGTCGGCAAAAGCCGACAACTACCTACACCAACTACGTGAAGCCAAAACCACGGAGTGGATTTCAAGTGGATCCATGACCCGCTGGCAAGACCCAGCCGGCCTTGGTGTTCACACTTTTTGGGGGAGCATATGCTTCGCACGTGAAAAAGCTCCTTGGTATGGCTTCTCAAAGCCACTGGGTCAAATCCCTACGGGGCTTTCTGGGAGAAGCCCCGGCGAGATCATTGTGTCGGAAACCACCCCGAGTGTACCAACCCGAACCAAGTCTTGGCCTACAAAAAAAGGGATACTCCAAGCAGATTCTGTTTCATATGTAGTCTACCCCAAAAAAATGCACTATATTGGTTTGGAGACTGCCAGGAAAAGCTTTCCCCAAATCGACTAGCATGAGTCGTGACTCGCGGCTCGCCTTCTCACTTCCGGAATGGATCGGCCGAAAACCAAAAAAAAACAAGGAAAAGAAAGAAAGGCTTGAACTTGCTGATGTGCCACTAAAATCTTGCATTTGCTTAAGCCCTCGCATTTTGTTTTACAAAAATACATTTCCAGTAGTGATAGGTTCCCTTTAAAACCAGCAGGGGAAAATACAACATCAAATATGCTCAAACAAAGTGGAAGTAGTGGCCCAAACCCCAAAAAGCTCGGAGTTGACTCGTGGATGGCCTTCATAAAGCGGATCACCAGTTTCTCCATGCCCTGCAGCGTGAGGCCCTGCTCCTTGCCCAGGCCGAAGCTGAAGAGTCGCTCCAAGTCCTGGCGCCGAAGGGTGGGCGCGTATGACGCGCGCTGGTTGGGGCCGGGCTTTAGTGATGCGGGGGACCCCAGGCGTCTCCTTCTGACCCTTGAACAAATTGGGTCCATGACATCCATGACCAACCATGATTTTGGGGAATGACCAACCATTTTGTTTACGGGTCAGAAGGAGACTCCGGGCATGCGCCATTGGGAGTTGGTGGTCCTTCCTTGTTCGTGTCCCTTTAAGCTGACCTCAAAAGGGTACCTTTTGTAGTTTAGCCTCAAAAAGAACGAGCCGATCCCAACTTCCTGAGTGGAGTCAGGAAAAGTCTTGTTTGATTCAGAAAGAGTGACCCCGGACTTTTGGCTAAAACGATGACCCTCAAGTCATGGGGAAGTGAGCCAACCAGCCCACGGGACTGCAACAAACTGGGATCCATGGGTTCCCAACCTTTCGCAACATCCCTCCCAACAATGGAAGCTGACAGGAGGGTTTTAAGGAACCCTGTCCACTTCCATGGTTGGAAGGAGGGTATCAGTGACCTGGCAACCAACCCGAGTTAGTTGGGGAGGGGGCCCCAACTGAAGGGTGCTTTTTGGTATCCGGTATCCCATGTAAAAGGTGGCAGGTGGCACTGTCCAACGAGGAACCAGGCGTGAAAAATCGACGAATCCAACTCCGCCGTGCATGCGGTCGGGCATGCAGTCAACTAGCCATCAGCGACCGTTAAGGGGGTGTGAACTTCAATAGGGGAACCCTTTCTTCTCCCAGACCAGTGGCCAATGGAAAAAAAGTACCTGACTTTGATGGGAGCTCCCCCCAAACAAAAACATAATCTAAAAAGAGGTCGCCACTGAAAAACCGAGGGTCCGGGTCAAATGTCATGGCCGCCGCCCAAAACGTCTGGCACCTCCAACGAAGCCTTCAGGTGCTGCTGCTTGTCCTGGCCAATCGGTCCATCCCGACTGGAAGGAGGGCCAACTGTGGAGACACAGTGGGCAATCCCCGTGGCCAGTCCAATTGTATTTTTCGACCAAACTCCAGTTGTTCAGTGACCCTGATAGAAAACAAGAATCCACAAGTCCACAAGGACTGACAATTTTCGGTGGGGAAGCCATTAAACAACAGGGTCTATCGAGGGTGGAATCCACTGAACCGGGAAACCGACCAGAACGACAGGTTTTTTGCCCGGCGATTCGTAGCCGATTCGCCTCCAGCAAAGGCTCCAGGTCCAGAAAGAACTGGATGAACTCCTCCTTGCTGATGAGGCCATCCTCGATCGATTCGAGAGACACGGCAACCCGTTGCCTTTCGACCGGACACAAAACCCCCCCCAAAAAAGTGCAGAATCCCTAATCAGAGGGACCCGGTATTTTCCTCCAAATCCCGGGAGGAAGGAGTCAAAAGCCAAACCCCGGTCCACCAAGTATTGATTTGCTCTTTGCTTCGGGTTGGGTTCTTGTTGCTTACATGTATGCAACGCGTCACCCAGATGTTGGCGCCTTTTTTGTTCTTTGTTTCAAAGGTGCTGCTTCTGGCTTTGGCCCTGAATCGTTTTGTTTATAGTTGCGCCGATAAGTATGAATGTTCGGCTTAGATCCCACAGCGCCCCAAACATATCGCAAGGAGAGATGCAGGCTGATGCCGCATCTCGGGGATCAAGATAGATGGGCTCACGACGCGCAAAGTGGAGCTTGAGTAAGGGGTTTCAAGGATTCCCTAGACAAGCGCAGGACAATGGCTTAAGACATCTGATCATGCTCTGGTCACCCGGGCGCAACTGCGCTAGGTTGCAGATGCCAGTGACATGATTCAAGAATACTTATGAGCCGGCAGAAAACTAAACACATTGCCGCACCTCGGATCAGCCAACGTAACGATTCCATTGGTCACACTCACATATTGCCCGTATTCCAGCTGCAGACTGCAATTGTATCAACACAGCCTGGCGCAATCTCGCGGGCGACTGGCAAAGCCCTTCCGCAATTCGAGTGTTGTGTGAGCAAAAATAACCCCAACGAACGCAACCCTACAAGTCAGCCACACGCGCACCAGCTTTGAAACAATTAATGCCACAGGTGCTTGGAGGCGGCTACTCTATAGTAACAAAGAACATATCATACACCTGTGTAGAATAGGCAACACTACACTTTATTTTCGAGAAAACTTCTGGTTTAATGCAAGCCACAAGGAAACCAACCATTTTGAGGGCTCCCTTGAGACAAAGCCCCACTATAATATATATGTATATATATATGTATATATACATATGTATATATATATATACCTGGAGTCTCCGTGCCCCTAAAAAAATGGGGTCATTACCAAACATAATGGGGTCATTGACCCATTTTTGAAGGGTCATAAGGAGACTCCAGGTAATATTACATCTATATATATAATATATATTATAATATCTTCTTATGTGCTTGTTTATTGCTCATTAGTTTCTACGTTTCCAAGTTAAACCACACGGGCTGGAGTAAAAAAACGCCAGCACCGAGCGCCGCGCGCCGTCGCTGTCCATGACCCGGAAGATGTCCTGTGGAAAAGGGTCAAAAGCAGTGGTTCCTATGGGGTTGCCTTGGCGTTGAGGGTTCTTAAGCCTTCAAGATTCCCTGAAAAACCGGCTATTGCGTTGGTGAGCTGGCATGTGTGTGTGTGTGTCAACACCATGTGGACAATCTCAGACAAGAGCGTTTTGCGGGACAGCATGGTCTTTCACTTTGCAATCGTCCGCGGATTGGGGAGGGAGCTCCCCCATGTTTCGGCCAACCCATAGAGCCTGACATGGAGTTGCAGATTTGATGGGTGCCGGGGTGGCACCCTGCCTGAACTAGACTCTCTTTCAGGACTCGATCCAAAAGGCTCAAATCAATATCAGCGAGATTTTGCTGAGTGCAGCAAGCTTGCGAATTTGCATAGTGTGTCTTTTTCCAGAGACGGGCATGTTTTCCGTAGTGGTGTGCTTTTGCTGACTGCATTGTCAAAAGTAGAGGTGGCTAGTGTCCTTTTGATCCAATTCAATGCTTGATGTTTGACGTCCAAGTGGGTGAAGCTCACAGGGGGTGAAACCACGCATGATGCAGGACCCTTGGGAATTCCCTACCTCAAGATTCCTTTCACAATAGGTTGTTGTCCCCCAGAAGGTATGGGGTGAAGTCCCTTTCCACGTCTTTACTTCCACTTTTTGGCCCTGTTTGGCTTGCTTTTCGGACACTCGGAGCAACTCGAATGAAACAATATGAGAAAGAGTTTCAAGAAAACATGGGATAACATCATGGGATAACATCATGGGATAACATCATGGGATTAGAGGAATTTTGGTTACATCGTCCACAACGCCAAAATGATTTGGGACTAGAACAGGGTGTGTCTTTTTCAGTCGGGCCCCAAAAATGGCGATCGTTTTCTTGGCTTCCCTTTAAAGCAACCCTACCTGGACCCTCACGGACCCTCCAACTACCCATCAAAGTCCTCTGTAGGTTCACTGCAATCGGTGGTGTGGACCAGTTCCTTCCCATGTTTCATTTTCCAGCTGTACTCAGTTCAGTGACCCTGGGAGCCTCCAAAAAAAGGACAAATAATTGGAGCCACTGAACCACGGAGTGTAGTAAGCTCAGCGAGAACTCGCAACCAAAAGCAACCGGCTTGGCTTCGATCTCCCGCTTGGCAACCCCGCAGTGGATGGCAAGCCTTCCAAGCCCTTGCCAGCTTGATCCTGGGAAGGCGGTAAAACCGGAGCCTTGAGCCGCTGCCCTGTTCAGTTACTGTGGCCACCATTAAAACAATGAACTGGGTTAATGGGTTAAAAGGGTTAATGGGTTAATGAACTGGGTTAAAACAATGAACTGGTGATGGCCACAATACTGTTACTGGGTTAAAATATTTCACCACTATTGTTTACCGTTCAGGATTGCCAGCCAAGTTGGGTCCGTGTCTTGCTTTTCATGGGGGTTGAACGAACCCTAGGGTCTACAATTAAGGCAGCTATTGCGTGCCATGGGTTCAGGGGCCGTATGCCCGGTCGTAACTTGGGCCGCATACATTCGAGATGTGTGACACGCAGACCATTCCTGGTCCCACTTCAAGGAAACAAACACAAGAGTCTGGTTTCACTTGCTTGCATATGTTCCTGAGATAGTGGTCCATTTCCCAAAAAATGGCGAGTTCCTTTCGGTTTCCCGTGGGAAGTTCCACCCAAATGGGTTTACCATTTTGAGACACTCCCACCGTCTCAGCGCAAAGTCGCAACTGTGACCTGAAGAGGGCCCCATGCGGTGGACGGCCTGCCAAACATGGCACCAGAATCAATTCCGCTGCAAGAGAAAACCTGCAGCTGTCTCATTCATCCCCTGCTGGCTGATTCACCAATAGGTCACAAGTAGGGTCACCTTTGAACCCAGCAAGGCGGTCCAAAACGGGAGCCGGCCATACTTTCGACCCGCCCCCCTCAAACTAGTCAAACTGATGTCTAAAGGCTTGCAGCGCTCTTTTGAGGTCTCTAAATGGAAAAACTCCAAAATGCGAGGGGCCATGTTGGTTTTCCTGGAAAACAATCCCACAACCAACGGACCCGAGCTCCAAGCTTTGGATACCAAATGCGCAGCTCGTCTTTTTGGGGTTGATTAAAAAAAAAAAAAACAACTAGCCCAGGCTTTTTACTAGCCCCGGCTCAGCACAATTTCTCCCCCCTGTGGCTCTGAAGAGGTTGGCTGGGAACCGTTGCTTCGCTCTCGGGTTGGGGGCAACAGGGTATTCTCTGGGGCCTAGTTGGTTAGGCTGGGGAACGGGTTGGTGGGCCGCATCCCCAGCATCCCCAGCATCACCGGCCTCGCTCGGACTAGGGCTGCCAATTGGCTTTGATTTGGTGGCAATTCAGATTTTGCTCCGGGCTGGTTTGGGGTCCATTTAGGCCTTGTAAAGGGTTGATACCCAGGATGCTGTTGCGAGGGTTTAAGGTTGACTTTGAGTCGGTTTGGGTCCGGGTTGGCTTGGAGCTGATTCGCGCGAGGTGTGTGGCCCGGTTTTTGCAGTAGCTTTTGGGCTGCTTTAGGGACGTGGTTGCGCAAGCCCCACAACCAATCCCAAACCAGCCCGAAAATTGCATAACCCCGCCCTGAAGCAGCCCAAAGGCCAGTGCAAAAACCGGGCCGCACACCTCGCGCAATTCAGCTCCAAGTCGCCAAATCATGCTTCCTTCTATCATAGGAAGCCAGGGGAATCCGGGAATCGTGAAACCTGGTAAGAAACCCAAGCGCCAAACATAGTGGCACGAGTTACTCGAAGGCCAAGTTGCTTTAAAGCAATGTCCCCTCAACGCGGGAAAGCCCAGGCGACTCCCAACAACCGTCCCCAGTCACAGCATGCAGCTGTCTCCTCCCTGAAGATATCCATCAACTTCATTGCCTTGACTTGGAGGCTCTTGATGCGGAAGCTCTCCTTCTTCCTAATCCTCGGCTGGCATCCATTCTTTTCCGAAAACGTGCAGCATCGTGCAGCTTCAGCGGGGTGAAGCGGGCAACATGATCTTTGGCCCTGCCAAGGAAGCTGCAGAAGTCTAGACCCTCGGGCACATGCTTCGCGATTGCGGATCCAGTGCAACAAAAACTCATTGCAGGCAAATTGTAGCTCAATGAAAAACACGGAGTGTGACATTGTCCGCCAATTTTCGCACTTGTTCCGCTGATGTCTGCCCGTTTCCACTCATTTTTCAGGACAAGACTGGGCACAGCAGCTCAAATCACAGTTTCCGCTAACCCCTTGAACCCACCGCCTTACTAACGCCTGGCAAAAACGACAGCTCGGGGGGTCTGCAAATTCATGTATCACCCTAAGAAAAGGAACCCACTCTGAGTTCCACGACTGTCAAGCCAACCAATTGCTTGCCATTGCCCTCCTGGGTCCATTCAAGTGACATCCTGAAAAGCCTACAGATCGTGGTTTCAGCCCTGAAGGTAACTTTGAGAACCCCACAACATGTTCACTTTATGCTTTCCCCCCACACCCTTGACCCTTGCAAAAGCCAACTTGTTGCTGGTTCAAAGGCAACATGAAGGAACACCGAAAAGGCAAACACCTAACAAGGTAAGCCATGTACCAATGAACAGTCGCCTCTGTTTGCCGTAGCCAAAACCAGTACTGACAAGGCTCGTTACGCACATTCATCTCTTGTCACCCTGACTGAATGTGGCGTTCAAGCACCCCACAACGGCATTCTAATTCTGCCTGCAGCGCATGGGTGTGTTTTAAATTCGAGACCCCCACAACGTGTAACTTCCTATTGATGTCCCTAAACAAAACATGCGCCCTGTGCAACCAATTCAAGGAGACAGAGTGCCTCAACACCTGCAAACGAGTGAGTCCGGTGGTTTTCGTGGCAAACTCAGAGCTCGTTCCATATATGTCAAGACCACATTCTCCCTTCCTGAGTGGTTTGCCACAAAAAGGGTCTAAAAGCGCCCAACTCTCGGGAAACCCCCCCCCCCCACCCCACCCAACCCCACCCCCCCCCCCACTCACCCCCCCACTCCACCCCACCCCACCCACCCCACCCAGCTACCCCACCCCCCAGCCCTCCAAGGCTCAGCTGGCGGCACTTCTCCAAGGCTTCCTTGGGCCGCGCCAAGCGCTGCTGCAAGAAGCTCAGCTTGGAGCCCACGCCTCGAGTCTCGAGTCGCGACTCGAGCCGAGAAGCTGCTGTTCAAGGGATGCGCCTCCCTTTCCAAGGCGCCAAGAACCAGTCGCTATGTATATAAGTGTGTGTGTATCTATATTTATATATAATTGTGTATATACATGTGTATATATATATATATATGTGCACATATATAGGTATATATATATACATATGTAAAATGTATACATGGACTGTTTGTATCCTTTTGTATCTTTCATTGAGAAAGCGATTCAAGTTTCCAAGAGGTACAAGGGGCGATTCGGTCACAAGCGACACTTGGCCAACGTCTTCCCACGTTCGGAACTCAAGAAACTCCCACAAATGGCTACAGGCAAAAAAGGAATTCCCAAGTAATCATGGGTGAGAGCATGTGTTACTTTCTATTGAGCTCGTTACAGTTTGCCCAAAATCCATCTGTAACGCAAAACTTAGGTGAAGGAAGGGGAAGAGACTGGCCCAAGTGGAAATTGATTTGGGATCCTCACTTTCTGAAAGATCTGAAAGTCAACCTTTGTGCTTTGAGAAATTGCTGCCGCGTTGCCTCAGCCGTGTGCATTTGTCTGATGGGTTCTTTTTGTCAGACATCTGGATATGGAAAGGAGTGGGTTTAGCACCACACCAAAACACAAAATAAATGACGCCGTGTTCGAGACTAGGGAACTGGTTGAAGGTGTTTCAGGGAACTCAGCTTATACACAGCAGATCTGCAATAACATACCCAAACATCTGCCAGGAGTCTCTTCATCTGCGAGAGGACGTACTTCTGCAAAGCCTTCTTGACCAGCTCATCTTGGTCCTCTGCAGCCGGCAATGGTCTGGACGCAATGGTTTCCCTGGTCAACGGGCGACAAGTGGCAGCTATGATTGGGATTTCCTCACTCGACCATGCACGGCTAGCAAATCCCCTATTGAGAGGGCAAACTGTACAAAACAGACATGCGCAAAGAAGCTGACATGGTCAACTCGGCATGTGAAACTCAGCAGATTCGCGTCTGTCGGACTGGAGCATGTCACGCGCATCCAGCAGTTTCGGCAGGGCTGCAAAGGTTTAACCCGTCAAAGCACAAGTCTGCGAAGTCCACTGGAACTCTCAATTCAGCTTGGGTGCCCAATGAAAGACACACGCCGGGCGGCGTTGACCAACTTTTACCCAAGCAGCCTGTTTTCCAATCGTTGCCTGACCACGCTCCTGATATATTTCCCATTGAACATCACCCCACCAGAAGGAAACGCAACTTGGCTATTTACAACCCGGCCTTTAAGGGGAATCATAGGGACCCCATGGGGACCAACCCCATTGGCAAACCCCCTCCATTGAGCGACTACATGGTCTATTTTGCTTGACCTGGCCGGTGCTTTTTGCTGTGGGTCCATGAATGTGGAATCCTTAAAAAAGTATGTTCTCAAATGGGGGCAACTTTCGCTTTAAATTGTGGCTTAACTGTGAGGGCGGATTTGATAACCCCTCAACATGTTCACGCGCGGAAACCATGTCCTCCACAGGGCAAATCTGCTCTTCAATGCTCTTCAGGCTGCTCTCTGCATCAGCGACCTTCTGGGTCATTTGTTCCATCGCCGCCTGACATGGCACGTCTTTTCATGGGCTGGCCCAAAAAAAGTCGAAGCATGGTTTTTTTCCTGATAATACATGGTCTTCCCAAAAAGGACAACATGATCCAGGCTTTGTTTCTCTAGATTCGCACCATTTTGTGGCTGCGAGCATGCGCAGGCGCTATGCGGCCAGCTCTGGGCAAAGCCTGATTCACGGCTGGGAAAGTCCTTGCTGTCGATACCCCTTCAATAAAGTCAGGAGAAAACCATTGAACAATTGGGATTCTCTGCCCAAACATGGCCCAAAATACATGTCACTTCGTCACTTGGGAATCCAGTTGGATTCGTAGATAAAGCGCAGACCGACTCAGCGCTGACTGACAAGGGGTGGGGGGGCACCTGGCAGCGAATGAGAGACATATCCCCACAAGGACAAAGCCAACCTTGCGCGGGTCACAAAAGGTTAACAAAAAAGGTGCTCAAAGAAAATGTGGCAAATAGATCCATCCAAGTGTGCAAAACAGTTGCCGCAACTTGCCCAAAAAGTTCCAATGTGAAACGAAACCACTCGGCTCAAGAACAAGGGGCCATTCGGGTTTGCCTGAAAGATGGGGAGACCCTGAAAACGGGTTTTCGGGGTCCCTATGTCTTCGGCTTAACTCAAGCCCAAACCTGGGGTACCGAGCTTCAACACGAACACACACCGAATGGGTTTGAATCAGAACGAAACAACTCAACAGAGAGTTCGAACCCCCAAAGATAGCGTTTAGAGGCACCTCTTTTTGGGAGACCCCCCCCTGTTGGGTTCCTTCTGTCAAAGTGCACGGGAGACCCCATATCGTTTCCAGAGTACCAATCCATGTCTGACTAGCTCGCTGTTTGCATTGTGCAGAAGAACATGTGGCAACCAATCATTCTGCTTCATTCTCTAGTCCCCAACCACAAAATCCGAAATCCAGATCTGCTTCATGTTCAGTACTTCCCCCCCAACAACAAACATCCAACAAATCCGGAGTGACCCCCCATCCCTAAAAACAAGCCGGCGCTCTCGCTCCACGCGCGCTCGCGCTCCACGCGCGCTCGCTCCGCTTCGCCTGGAGCTCCTCCACCGTCATGAGCTCCAGCTTCTTGCTAGGCGAACTCGCCTCCTCCGCCGCCTTGATGGCCTTGGACACCTCGAGTGAGTCGTTGAGTCTCGAGTGAGTCGTTTCGACTCGTGACTCGAGTTGAGTGAGTCGGGCAACGGGAAAAACAAAAAAACAAACAAACAAAAACAGACAAACAACAACAAAACAGCAAAAAAACTGGGGCACTTCCAGGCAGGTTTATTGGTGGTCAAAGGCTAAACACGTGATGGTCTGGCCTGGTGAACAACCATGACATGTTGACAACCAAAGGCGAAACATTTTGGACCACAGCTGTGGTTGAAGTGGAATCCACTTCTGTGATACAACAAAAAGGGCCTCCCAAAGGCTAACCCCCATATGAAGAGGGGATGCCCTTTCACAGAAGTGGGGATCAACCCCTGGATCCCTCAACCCTGTAATGGACTACCTGGTTGACAGCCAACGGAGGAAACCTGCACTTCCAAACAAGAAATTCAACCAAAGTCTAACAAGGCATATGGTATGATGTGATGAGGGTCAGCCATGAGGAAGCTTTCTGGGGGATTCCAACAAAAACTCCCAAATTATGTCCGGCTTCGGAAGTAGGCCAACACAAATTGCAACCACAAACACCCCTGTGACGGTACAAGCTGTACCAGAAGGGGCTGGCAACAGGTTGTACCACTGTCCAACAACACACGCATGGGTTTGTGCACACACACCCCTTGGTCTTACAAGATGAGTCTGTGCACTGAAAGAGTCTGTGGACTTCCATGTTGGTCGGTAGTAGGGGTATAAGGGCGATGCTCTTCGAAGGCCTTCTGGCTTGCAAATGATTTGGTCATATATGCTACAAGGGCCTGAATAATGGGAACTTAAGTGTGGGATCGGGGTACCTAAAACCCAAAGTTTGTCGTGAGTATAGGAATAGACTATTTAGCCCACAAATCCGTTTGGTGACATGTTGGATAGGTCGCAATGTAACAATATGTTAAATAAAAAACGGATACCCATTCCTCATGGAAAGGGAACCTCAACAATTGAACTGAGCCATCAATATCCGGTGAATCTGTTCATTGAATTTTGGGGCACTGCCGAACCCACAACCACCCTGCAGATTCCTAACTCATAAGAGTATCCAGAACAATAGCCAACTGTTCGCTTAGTTATTCTAGGTGGCTAGACATAACAACTTCGACAGCCCAGGAAAGTCCACCAACAGATCATGCATCCCACTTTGAATGGCTTAAATTAGGTCAAAAGGACCCCAATCGTTCCTTCTTAAGGTCCCAACTTCCAACATCCACATAGCTCCTAATAAAATGGTATTTCCTCATTTGTTTGGATTCCCTTCACTTCCCCTGTAGTTGTTCTTTTGGTTTCCCTTCCTTGGGTTTCTGTTGGTTTCCTTTTTGGTGGTTTCCCTTTGGTCTCTGCTGCAACCCTCGGCTTTGCTGGCGAGATCTCTCGTCTGGAAACACAACAGCCCGCCTCCGCCTCGGCGGCGGCGAAGTCCAGCGCCTGGACATGCTCCGCGTCCCTTTTGCGTTGCTCTTTGTCTCAGTTGTTCGGTGACCCGGGAGCAAAAGGGAACCAATTCTTTTTGGGGCTTGGACCATTTTTAGTAGGGGAGCCACAAAAAAAAGGGGAAAAAGAAAAAGGGTGCCACTGAACAACTGAGTTTGTTTGTTTGCCTTTTCCACATACTTGCCGACGGACATCCAAGTTCCAAGCTAACAGGATGGTGGGAGCGGGTCTGACCTTCCATTTGAACCCCTGAGGGTATTTGAAACTCTAAGGGTGGTTTCTTTTAGGTTTCCCTTTAAACCAACCCCAAGAAGGGAGCCAACTCAACAAAAGAGGAGCCATTCACTTGGAGGCAAACCCTGGATGTGGTTTCGTTTGGGTGTATCTCCCCCACGCTAAACAAATCCCACCACTTCAATCCAAACCACCAACGAAGATTGGGGCGTGTATGATTTGAGGTACCATTTTGAGACAAACCTTGTCGGGCGGGGTGTATCACATTCCATTCGTGGGCCTTCGCCAATTTGAGTGTCGGGCTTTTTGGATGCCCGAAAGGCCGCTTTTCTATACAGCGGATTCCCTTGGTGGATTCAAAAGGGCAATGGTTCGTTTGCTTTGGCCATGCTTTTTGAGGGGGACGGGCTTACATTTTGCAGACAAACCCATTTTCTAGAAGCTTTCCCCTCGGTTTTGATGGTTTCCTGGAAAGAAGGATCCCTGGAAAGAGTGGGGAAGGTACCCCTAGACATCTGGGTGTGATCTCCAAATGGCCTGCCCAGCTTTTGATTCCTGAAAGAGCCCCAAAATTCCACGAGGGCACGCCAGGTAGCTCCACACCGCTGCACCCAACTTTGTACACCCAAAACTTGGCCCAAAACCATATGTTAGTCTACCCTACAATAAGTTCACAAAAAGGCATTTAACCCCCCCCCACCACCCCCCAACACTCCATTCTGAGATTGGGTTTTTTGGGCAGTGGAGGGAGGGTGTGTCTTGCGTTGGTCGCTCTGGCTTCTGACCATCCGGTCTGCCACATGGCTCGAGGCGTGGTGAGTAACATAGAAGCATGGCTGTCTTCATGGAGTGTGTCAAACTGCGGGAGACTTCCAAACTGGACTTGGGCTTTCCTTTCGGCTTGCTTGTAAACCACCCTAAAACGTAGTCTCAAAACAAACAAGCCCTGCCCTGCACAGCAAGAAGTAAGCTGGATTCAAGATCACCGGAAGGTGAGCATGGGCCCCAAAGCCCGAAGCTCCTTGTGCTCTCCCTGTCCCACATCGGGATTCCTCATATCGAGCATGTACAATAACGAGGCGAGCGCGCACGCGCAGGAGCGCGCGCCAGAGCACGCCTGGGCTTGCTCGAGTATCTGCGGCTTCAGCTCCTCGATGGTTTGCTTGTTACGCTCTCGCTGGATATCTCTCCTGAGCACGCCGAATGAATTGGGGAGGTGATACTACTGAGTATTGATTACATATATTATATATATATATGGTGGTTGTTCTAAATTCCTTTGTCTCGAAACGGCCATTCTTCGCAAAAAAAAAAGTTACTTTCGCGAATCTTTCGCGGATTCATCGCCGTGCCGTTTTCATTGCTCAAGTCAGAAAATCGCAGCTTAAGTGCCAGCGTAGTGCGCGAAATGCGATTCCCCAACTCCAGCTGTAACGTCGCAACTTTTCATCACAGGGGTGACATGACATGAACCGGCTGGAAAGTCGCAGCTTTTCGTAAGCCGTGCAGCTCTAGCTTAAAGTCGCAAGTTTCCAGTACCAAGCTAGTATACTGACTAGCGCGACGCTCAGAAAGTACCTCCCCTTGCAATCGAAGCCTGCGCTTTCGCGCGGGCTTTCGCGGATCTCTCGCGGAACTTTTGATAAAAGTCACCCACGTTTCAGAGCGGAAAGCCACCGACTAAACACCCACAAACGCAAATACGCAGGCTTGGAACACTAACCAGCCAAGCAGGGTATCAAACTGTAGCCTCACCTGGCTTTATCACTTTATCAGTGCAAAGTCAACAAAGTGTTTTAATCAGCTTAGAAGGAAGGCTCAGCAGCAAAGATAAATGGTTTTACATATCATTGAAGTACAAGATACAGTTACGCAAAACTTTCGCGAGGAAAAAAGTTACTTTCGCAACTCCATCGCGAATCTTTCGCGGAGCTACCTCAACCAACACCGATGGTCGCCGAATTCTAAACTCCTTACAAGGACCTTTAGAACGACTCCCATATGCATATGAGTCACAATCAAAACCCGGTATTAAAATGGTCTACCCAGAACCATGTAAAGCATTATGAAGGCGGCCGCAACTATTTCTGGCTGGGACTGCCCCTTAGTATCCTTCATCTACCCGGGTTTTGATTGTGGCTCATATGTGAATTGGTAAAATACACACCTCATTAACATAAACAAATTGAAAATGTATGACATACATGTAGTAGCTTGTCTTAGAGCTCTCCAGGTCCCAATTGCATTTTCTAGTCTTGTCGTCCGCACAAAGCGGAACATGGAAATACACTACCGAAGGCCCCCTTCCCAATTCCATTTCCAAGGTGGGACATCCAAAGTAGAGGGGCGCATGCATTGGAGAAACCGCCGCACAAAATGCGGGTTGCGTGTGCTTTCCCTTGGCAAAAACGAGAAGACTGCGGATGCTTCCCCCATTTCGAGACATGCCCATGTTTGCAGAGCCTCTCTGGAGCGGTGGGTCACCCTTCAACCGCCAAAAGGAAACCGATGGAAAGGAAGCAACGTACACGTTTTTGCCCGTCAAAGCAAGCCCTGTTGAGTTTCAAGGGGAACCAGCACGAGAAAGCAACGATTTGGCTGGGGCTTCTGCTTACAGAACATTTGAATTGCAACATCTGCAGCATTTCCTTGGAACAAAAGCAACACAGATCCGCGAATCAAGGGTGAGCTCGGTTTACCTACCAATTGGTGAGCTTGCAAAAAGACATGGCAGATCAGGTGCCCACGGGGTACAATTAACCACTCTAAGATCAGGGTTTTCTTGCAACCAGCACTCTTGCGAGGTACCTCAAAACAGGTGTCCCGAATTAACCAACCGCTTGTTGCAGGGGCACCTCAACAAAAAAACACTCCACAACCAAGACTGGGCTGTCCTCAGATTCCCCGCTAAAAGTTTAACTTTTAGTGGGTTTAAATGGAAATCCCCCGTAAACACTAAGAAGCTAGAAAGCCAGGGGATGGCTGGGAGCCACCAAGAGAAGCAACATTGCTTGCTGGTGCGGTAGATAGGGAGTGAGAAATGGATTGAACCCAGGCTTTGGTCCCCTTAAAGGAAACCAGCAGTTGGATGGTTTATAAGGGTACCAAGAGATGTTGTCTGTAGTCCATTTCAGTAGGGGAACCGAATCTCCCAACCAAAACCGGGGAGAGAAGGGCACTACTGGGGGACCTAGAAGAAATGTTTCAGGTTCCGAGGCTCTGGTAGTTGGCCACCAGGTTCTGCACCCGGCCCAGTCTTCGCTCCAGCTGGCCCAGGCACATCCTCAGGCTCCAAAGTGAAGACGTGGGGCGTTGGATCAGCTCCGACTAAAGCCTCTCGGTTCTTGTGTTACCCTTTGTGTTTGGTGGTTACAAAGAAAAACCAAAAGGAAACCAACCATTTTTTTGGGGGGTTTGATGGGGGGTTGATCAAAAGGTGCGAGAAACGTGGGATGACCATTGGAAAAACACAAAAACAAAAAAGATGATATGTCAACCACTAAATGGGAACAGTTCCCCATGGTCAGGTGGGGGCCAGGAATATAGATCAACCCCCATTTGCGGTTTTGCTGGACAAATGTGAAAATATGTCCATCGATTCCCTTTAAACCAACAGGGGAAATAAAACAAGTTCTTAAGCAAATGAAAGTCAAAATTCAGGGTTCCGCTTTTTGACTACGAGACATACTTAAACTCAGGCATTGGTTCTCCTGGGGGGAATGAACCATTTCTGGGTTTAAGTCTACTCTGGGGTTCAAAAGTGGAACCCTGTCAAATTTATGTTTGGGGTTGTTTCCCTTTGATGCCACTTCGATGGACCGAGTCAAAACTCTGGGTGACAGTGTTCAGGCTGGTATAGAGGAAAACCAGTGGCAGGCCGCATTTCTTGGAGATCACATGTTCAAGTCCCCGATGAAAAACCAGAGAACCAAACAACCTGGAGATTCAAACGTCAAGGAATTCCTAGTCATTCTCGGCATTGACCCTGTTTTGGACGCAAACGCCCGCAAATTACCGCAAACGCCTAGAAACAGGAATTGCCGCAAAACGCCCGCAAAAAAAGGGGCAAACGCCCGCAAAAAAGCGCAAAAAAAAACGCAAAACGCCTAAAACGCCTAAAACGCCTAAAACGCCTAAAACGCCTTGAGAACCAGAACGCCTAGGAATTCCTCGGCATTGGAATCTCCAGGAACAAATAAACTAAGCAAGCATGCCAACAACGAGGCACTTACCCACAGTTCTCCCGCCTGTGCTATCTTTCCGACTTGGACACGGTTTCCACAAGGCACCATTGGATGGACGACTCGGGAGGGTAAACCATAGAAGGCAACCCTCTCCAGATTCACAAGGCCGAAGCTGATCCATGTTCACTTGCTGATAGGGTGGGGGGGACCCCTTTTCGCGGCTCCAGGTTGAACTTGCAGAGCTACTTGGCCTCGCTTGCGACCAAAGAACCCGCAAGCCGGGTCAACCTTTCGGTGCAAGACCAACCGCTGGCAACTGAAAAAACCACGCCAAAGATTGCATATTCACGTGGGTGTCCTTTTTGTGGGGACCAGCAAATGGTGATGATGTTTTCCTTCTTAGGCGAAATTGATTCGCTGGCCAGCAAGAAGGAGTGCACATCCGACCCGTTACGGTGCATGAGGAACCAAAATGGACGCCGGAACCACGCCTAGCATTTTCAGGGACCCGCTTTTGCGAGAAACCCAAACCTCCCAAACCTTCTGCGGGGCGGCCGTAGCCCTCCCTGTCTTTGTTGGGTATCTTCGGCGGTCGCATGTTACGTTTATGGGTGCCGTCCAAGCTAGACTTCAAGGGAAATCAATCGAACTGGATTACCCCACTGGGAAAACTATTGGCCCCCACCGCCACCTATTGGAAGATTCCATTCCTCCATGACACACACACATTCTGGACCCTCAACTGACCCCACGAAAAACCGGGAGAAGTCAGCCCGAAGCCACGCTTCGAGCGCGGAACATGCTGGGGTCCCCGCTCTGAGCGCTTGGCTTCCTCCTGCAAGAAGGCCTGAAAGTCCTGAAGCTTCGCAGTCGCGGCTCCCTCAAAATGTCTGTGCGGCTTTCATTGAGTTGCTACCCCCTGTTGCTCGGTTTTCAAGGGAAGCCAAAAAGCAAACCGAAAAACCAATCTTGGAAAGTCCCCTAAAATCCTACACCACACACACACACACACGCACACGCACCTATATTTGTTCAAGGGTGTTCCCTGTGAAAGAAACTACCCTCCCATACATGTGAAAAGAAATGTTTAAGATGTTTGTTCATGTCAAAGCATACCTAAAGTCCTAGGCAGGTGAACTGGGTTGTTCAACACATGGGCATTGTGGTGGGGTTAAGTAGCAAAGTTATGTTTATTCGGCAATCTGCTCAAGATGGGTTCCCGGCTTCATCCTTCCAAGTCTGGCAGAGCCGAACTCTCACTTGCCCAAAGGACCCAGAACAAAACTCACCAGTTGGGGCCACTAATGGTTGCAACAAAAACGGGGGTTTAATCTCCCTGAAAGGTCAGATCCGGTCGATTCGCTAAGGAAGACTAGGTCCTCCTGTAGAGAGGTTAGAAGAAGGGTACCCTTTTTTCTGTAGTCTATTTTAGTAGGGGGACCCTCCCCCAAAAAAGGGCAAAAGGGCAGGCACTACTGGACCGAGAAGAGGTGGCCGGGGTCCTCTTTGATGTCCTCCTCCACCTCCACGCTTTCGATGCGCTCGCCTGCCAGCTGCTCGCGGGCACCGGCGATGCCTTCGCGCGCGGTGCCCACCATGCTCTCGATCTCCTCGCGGTGAGGTGACTGAGGGGCCGCATGGCACATGGGTGGCTGACCGGCTTCCCCAACCCAACCCCAAACTCAACTCACAAAAGACACACCCATGACGGTTTCCTTGGGGAACGTAAGTTCCATTCCCGAAACAAGACATGTTCCCTTGCTCGGCGGGTTCTCCACTTCATGCATCTGCCTTCCGAACGGGTCCAGTTCGTGAGGCTTCCCCTTGCCCATGCCAAAACGGGAGCTCCCAGTTGAACCTTCCCAAATATGGGTGGCTCGTCTTTTTGGACCCCCAAAATGGTGTCGGTTTTCCTGCTGGCTTCCCTTTAAAGCCACACAAAAAGGGGTACCTTCAAAACAAAAGACCTTTGGGGACGGCCTTTGCTAAATGTGAATTTATACCACGCCATATATCCCGCTAAACTTGGCTTTTCAGAGCAGGTTGTTCTCGAAGTCATTCCACCTTGGAACACATTGCTTGGAACATTTCGATTTTGGCGGCAGTTTGTTGTCTCTGTCCGGAGGTGGGGCGGGCATTTGTTCAATGTGAGTGATGATATGCTAAGACTATGTAAAATGAGTGTACATCAGACTATCGTACAAAGTTTGTCTGGCGAGATTCAGTTTGTGTTCTGCTGTTCTTCTAATGATTGGGGTGTTTCTCCCGAATCTTGATCGCAAGAACGAAACCCAAGGATCCGGAAGTTCACGTTCCCTCTCCTTGGCGATCCACTCCATCTCCCCCTCCTCCTTGTTCTGTGGAATGCCGACGAAGGGCTCTGCCTCGAGTCAATGTTCCCGTTCGATCCACAGCCGATTTCTGGTTAGACGGGGGTTCCTTTGCTGGACCCCAAAGGGCCCCTTTTTCTGCCTTTGACCCATTGAAAAAGAGGAATAAAGGCAGAAACAACGGGTACTTTGGATATCCACTATGGTAAATGGATCCACTGGGCAAGTAAAGGAACCCGTCTTCCGGCCGCGAGAAGTCTTCACACGTGGCTTCTGGGGACCCGCGAAACAACGGCATGGCATCGATGCAAAGCACTCAAAAAGCATCTGCAAATTCCACAACTTCAAACGCCTGCAAGGGATTGTCCAACGTCGGAAATAAGAATTGGATTCTCAAAGGACTTACACGGTGAGCTCGTTCTATCCCCAAGTGAGCTCGCAACAACAATGGACAAAACAAAACACATGACAAGCAACGACAACGGGGTCACGGGCAGAAACTCTTCAACCCAAGCACAAAACTAGAAGATGCACCTAGCCCTCCAGCCACAAGTCTCTAGCCAGGAAGTGGCTCCAAACAGCGGCTGCTCTTTACAGCAGCCGCTTTGGAACCCTCCGAAGCCTGCGACAAACGGAGCTCGAAGCTGTGAACTCAGGAATGATTTCAAGGAAGCCATGGTGTTCCCAATTTATGTCTCTTTCAAAGGAGGCAAACAATCAGTTTGGGTAAAATGATCTGATTCCACGTCCAACAAGTCACCATGTTTCCCCCTGTAAGGGGTGCCTTTTGTTAGGGCACGCCCCAAAATGGTTCTTGTCCTTTTGATTTCCCTCCAACATCAACTTCAACACGAGTGACACCCACCTATGGTTTCCTTTTCTTCCTCCTCGTCTCCCCGAGTCAACGCGAGCTCGGTTTTCTCCTCCCGTGGCCTTCTCCTCGCAGGCCTGGACCAGCTGCTGGGCCCCTTGCACTGCCTCCTGGGCACTTTTTGTTTAGCCCAGGATCCCGGTGATCGTGTAACGTCGAGCCCATACAAAAATCAACCAACCGGTTTATTAATCGGGGTGTCCCTGGTTTAGTGGGGAGTCATCACTGTTGGAGGGGAACACCCCGCACCCCCCTATTAATGAACTGGGGTACAGGGGGGTGGGGCCCCTCCACAAGTGGTCTGATTCCCACGAAACCAGGGACGCCCCCAATACGCTATTCTAGGAAATTTGGATGTGGCGAATCTGCGGATGAATATTGACAGAGTATCAAAAAACTACTATGAAAATGAAGCAACAGGGGGAACAACACATGAATAGGCGGATCCAAACCGTTGTTCTAGGTGTAAGGGTCAGCCATGCGTTGGGTTTTCAAGGGCTCCCTTGGTTACCTGTACTGGTGAATGTAGGGCGAAAACTCCATCACCGGTGCACGAAATTGATTGTCACAGTACCGATGGCGGGGGTGTCCGTTGGTCCCCCTTCGAACCATCCAAAAGCAGCCTTCAATTTCCGAACATTGGATATGCACGTTCGTTGATGGTATCTTTTTGGGGCTAGCTTCATGGAAAATGAACAGGACAGCCTTCACTGTTGGGGTCCCCTATTTTGACACATACCCACATGGGGATCATCCAATCAGCTGGGAAATGTGACAAAATTGTGTGGCTGTACGGTATTCAACCCTGTCCTTGCCCGCGTCAGGGCCCATCTGACTCCGCGCCACGCGCAGCATCTCCTTTCGCGCGGCACGCACGCACACGCACACACACACACACAAATACAATTGCGGGCGCGAGCGGTGAGACTGGTGTTCAAATGGGAGTTCCTTTTTTTTCTCTGTAAAACCAACCAAAAGGGAGTTCCAAAAAAGAAAGACACGCCCAAATGTTGGTGGAAAAGAGGGGAATGAGTGGAATTGGACGGTGAAAATGAGCCCTGAAAGGTCCGAAAGGGTACCTGTGACAAACAGCCGAACGTCTTGGTCCAAAACGAAGTGATGGTTCTCCCAACATGACAATGTAGACAAGGAGTTTGGCGCCACATGCGCGCGAAACGGGGAACCCGGAAAGAATCGGGCTGAACATCGACAGGTCCCATGGAGAGGTCTCTTCCAAAGGACCTCATGCTTCAACCTGAAGCGGGTTTAACTCAACACCTTGAGGCTCCCCTCCAAATGGACATGGAAGCCTCCCAAAAGAAGATTCCTCTAAAACTGGTGAAGTGTTTATTTCAGGTCCGAATGTTGACCGCAAACGAATAAACCGCTTCATACGGGGGTGTCTCCAAATGTGACAAGTCCCAAGTAAAGGGGGACACCCACCTACTAATCCACCAGGCGGTTGCATTATCTGGGGTCAACATTCTGTCAATTTACGGGATTGTATTTTGTCATTTGCCAACGTTCGAGCATGTTGTTTTCTTTGGTCCAGAGCTCTTTCACAGTGGCAAAACCTTGACTTCTGGGCTCCTTAAAGGAAGATATAGGCCACCTGCTTCGGGGTATCCTCTCAAGCTCGCATGTCGGCGCTTTTTATTAGGCCCAAATGAGTATCCTTTCAGGGACCCTGATAGAAAAGCTTCATTTAGTCGAACCCGAGACCGGAATGCACGATGGATGGATGGATGAACGCAATACTCACGGCACCTGCTTGAATTGTTGCTGAAGAGCGAATCCTTAACTTCCTGCTGAGTTGGAACGGCTTGAAACGGAACCCACCAGCCCTAAACTTACTCACCCTCTCTTGGCACCCGGAAAAAGCACAAAAAAACAAAACTGCACCCCCAAAACCAGACCCCAAACCACAACCCCAAGCCAGACCCAAAACCAGACCCAAAACCAGACCCAGACCCAAAACCGAAACCAGACCCCAAACCAATACCAAACCCAACTCCGGCTCCTTCTTCACCAGCTGCGTGGCGTTCTCCCGCGTCACACGGCCCTTCTCTTGCGCTTCATGAGCCTCGAAACAAATGGGCTGCCCCCCCGGACAACAGAGGGATGTCCCAGGCAGAAGGGTGGCTCAGTTGTTCAGTGACCCGGGAAAAAGAGGGAACCCTTTTTGGGGAAGACCATTTTTAGTAGGTGAGCCACCAAAAAAGAAGGGAAACAGGCTGCCACTGAACAAATGAGGTGCTGTGAGGGTCCATAGGTCGATTTCCCCTATCAGGGTGGCTCGAGGGTCCAACACTGGGAGGTTGCCCCAAAATGGTGACGGATTCCCAATTTTTGCAGGGGAGTTTGAGGGCCCGACCCACCAATGGGTATGTGCTTGTGGGTTCTGTGCTATCTTGTTCAAGATGTGACTCCCCATGAGGCGAGACTTGAGGGAGCGGGAGGGCAAAAAGTTGCACCCAAAACGAAAGAACAACACTTATAAGGCCATCGTCCTTGTTTGATATCTTTTTTACCGGGGCCGAACATGGCTTTGGTGTTTCTCTTGGTTTCCCTTCAAATCTAACAAGGGGTATATGGCAATGGACTGTGGTCAAATGTTCTGACGAGTGGGGTGATCATCCTGGAATCAGCCAGCTTGACGTTGCGGCTGAGTCCCAGAGATCGGGAAACCTGAAATGTTGAAAGCTCCAGAAACTCAGCCAGACGCGCTGAAAGGGAGAGAGGAAGACTAAAAGGGTAACAAGTGGAAAAGGTAACAAGTCTTCCTCCAACAAACATGGCACCTGTGGGGTGCCTAAAATATCGTTTTCCTCTGGGGCCGGGTCCCAGTCAGGTACCATGGCAACATGGGAGGCAACACCGAGAATGCATGAAGCGCAAGCCGGGAAGCCGACCATGAGGCGCTGATCCACATTGCATCACAAATTATCAAATAGGAAGGTCGGCTGCAATCTGCTCCCCTGCTAAAAGTTTAACTGTTCTTGGTTTAATGGAGAACCCACTAGTTGGCAAAAAGTTGAAGTCATAACATCAAAATGTACCAAATGCAGTCTGGAAGAAAATGTCAAAGTACCAATCCCGGTTGTCTGTTGCAACAAACCAAACATAGCTCCTCACCCCCGAGCACACCCCCTCGCCTTTTGGACGTCCACTTCTTGAAAAGTAAAAGACCTGAGCTACCAGCCTCAAACTACCCTGGATTGAATGGGTCATCAACCCACACATGGTGAGAATCATGAGCGATGATTGTAATTTTTGGGTAGTTGGAGGGTCCAGGTACCTGGGCGGTCTAAAAAAATCCAGGGCAAAATGGCGGCTTCCCCTTGAAAGCCCCCCCAAGACCGCGAATCCCAGAACCCAGGCCTGCTGCCTGGCACGAGTGCTGCGGCTCACCGCTTCCAGCCAGCCTGCAAAGCTGGCGACAAAACGACCCCACTATACTTCCCACTGTTTGCGGCCATATGGGCGTGTCTTTCACAGGAAACCCCCACGAAATGGTGGTTATCCACATAGTTTTTCCCTCAAAACCACCAAACAAGGGTACCAACTCCAAAAAAAGGAGACCCAAAATGAAATACTTCCCCTCAGGCGAGTTGGCTTCCGCCAATTTAAATCAGCCAAACTGAACATGGACCGTGTTGGCCAAACATTTAACGAGTCTTGTCTGCCATGCCATTCACAGTGTTCCCTATTAACCAGGGTCAATATTTCCCCTTGATGTCAATCGCCGACCTTTTGGGCGACTTGTGAGTTTCCCTGCAGTCGGGTGATGTTGAAAGTCGAGCGCCGCAAATGGGGTGTGTCAGGGCAAATGGCTTGAACTCCCAAGGAAATGAAGGACACCCCACAGAACAAGGACCTTGTCCTCAGCATCTTGGGCCCTCAGGGGCTCAAAAGCTTCCGATGGAGTGAGCTTGGTCCGCAGCGGAGAGCTCGCTCTAATTTCGAGCGAGTCGGGATCTGCCAAACCGACATGGCTTAGGTGTCATTCAGCGTGAGACTGATCAGGGTACGCAACTTCCGTCCAGAGCTTCCGGGAACATCCAGTGTGGCCATCAGCTTCTGGTTGCCGTGACAAGGACTCAACTCACGACAGCATCACGTTGGGTTTTTGGGTGGCTTGCAAAAAGACGGCTTGAAAAAAATCAGCCAGGCTGTGTCTTCTGGAAAATTGGAGATTTTTGGGTGTTGAAAGAATTCATGGAACACTCAGGTTGATCACGGCCTAAACCCCTGGCAGATGAACAGGGGGGGGAAGCTCTTTCTGATTCATGAGGGGCCGATGAATGACCTCTTCGTCTATGAATCTTTGGCCAGTCCGGAGAGCTTGACTCTGGGATCCAAGACAGCACTCCCCGCACATCCGATTACTCCCATAGTTGGGAACCAACAAAACCATGTAACACCTGAGGTAAACAGAAAAAAAGAAGAGACAAATGGTTACCCAGTGCAGTGTTTTTTTGGGATCCGGGCGCTGCTCAATCGGGCTGAGACCACGAAGAACCTGTGGAACACGCGAACGAGCCCCGAACCGCCTCTCCGGACCTCCATAGGAAGGCCTGCCGACTGGAACTCCCCCGCGTGTAGGGCGATGCGCTCCTAAGGCTCCACTGCCCTACCCGTCCAAAAGACCGGACGCTCTTGGGTCGAAAAGGGGCGAAATCAGTGGAATGGGGTTGTGAAGAAACTCGACCAAATTTCTGGGAGAATTGTGTGTGTGTAGGCATTTTGCCCCTTGCAGTACACATAAAATACGACTTTCAGATTCTGCTTCAAAATTGGCGCGCCCTCAATGTAACTTATTTTTGGAGGAGCCCCCAGAAAAGCACAGGGCGGGTTTGCTCTTTTGCCCTGGTGCACAAGCTGGAACTGAAAACCAGCTTCACTGAAACATCCGCGGGGGGGGGGGGGGGCACAAAGTCAACTCAGCCGACCATGAGGTGCACTTTTACTTTCTAAGCTGCTTTCCACTACCCTCATACCGCTACCCCCAGGTTGCATATCCCATTTAACCATTGGGGGTAGCGTTTGGGGGTAGTGGAAACCATCTAGATACTCGCCAAGAAAACTCTTTGCACGGCAGCCCAAAGTTGAGAGACGCAAACTCAGAAGAAAACACTCCATCTGTTTTGGGGGTTGCTGGGTTGCACCGTACTCTCCTCGCATTTTGTCTGTGCAAAAAATGTCTTCCATTGCCTTAATAACAAAACAATACATACAAACACGGTAGTGAAACTTTCCCTTTAAGCCTTCGGGGGAAAACACTTGTTCTGACTTCTTGAGTGGATTGGCCAAACCAAGTCCAAACTCGTTTGCTAACATGGCCCAAGGCCCCAACAAAGTGACTAAAGTCCGAAACGGAACTCAGGAAGTCCAAACTTGCTTGCAAAAAATGAGTAAAAAGGACTAACATGTCCAGAGTGCGAGTATTCACAAGCTATCCTTGGGAGCCCCAGACCCTAAGATTCTAGGGGACTTCAACCCAAAGATGAAATAGTGAGGTCTTGGGCTCCTATGGAAGCTTTGCAGCCCAAAGAACTCCTCTTGCCCATCCATCCGATGCGCGACATCCGCCCGGTGTCCTTCATGGCGGTGTTGAACTCGGTGAGCTTCCCCTGAAAGTCCTCGGACTCCGACTCCAGAAGCTTCACCTGGTGAAACAGGCTTTGGCTTATATGTATATATATATATACATATATATGTATATATGTAGTGTGGTAAAGTGGTGAGTGGCGAGTGGTTGTGGGTTTGCCAGTGAGTGGTGAATGGTTATGGGGTTGTCTCCAAATTGTATGGAAGACACATATGGGTTGGTCTCTCTATTTAGAAGGGTTTATATTAGCTGGATCCAAGAGGTTGCAAAATACAAGTATGATGGTTCCTGCGCGAGTACCCTCCGAGTACCCTGCGTGCGAGTGTACGAGAGTTGCGTGCGAGTGTGCGAGTGGACTGTGCGAGTGTGCGAGTGGAACGGGCGAGTGAGCGGACGAGTCGACGAGTGACTCGAACACTCGCGCGCCCTACTCGCACACTTTCACTCGCACAGAAATAAGGGCTTGTCTTTAGACCTTATTTTTTGGTCACGAAAACTGCTTCCAATTATTGCGAGTCAAAAATAAGGTCTAAACAATAGACCTTATTTCTGTGCGAGTGAAAAGTGTGCGAGTAGGGCGCGCGAGTGTTCGAGTGTCTCGTCCACTCGTCCGCTCACTCGCCCGTTCCACTCGCACGCCCTACTCGTACACTCCACCCGCGCACTCGTCAAAAGTCGCTCGTACATGTTTCGGCAAGTGTGCCTAAAAAGCCTGTTTACAACCTCTTGGCATCAACGGTTTATATGTGGTTTGGAGTTGTCCACTGAAATGGCTTGTCTTTGGTTTGATTTAGGTGGGGTCCCACTTTCTGTGGTTCCCAATTTGGGGTTGGTTTGAAGGGCAGCCAAACCACCCCTTCTGGTGGCCCTCTTTTTTTGGGTGCGAAAGTTGCAATAAATAAACACGCAAACGATACAAACGATAGACACTGACAGGAAACCAACCAAAAACAAGATACAACCAGCAACGAATCTCAACTCGGAACCCTTGGGTTGCGGTCGACATCGGAACTTGGTGGGGATTGTACAACAGCCTCTTTGGCGGTCGGTGGTTCCCTGTCGATTTCCCGCAGAAACTGAAGAAGCATGCAACTAAACCACCTTGTTAGGGGCTGCTCATCACACCCCTCCAAGCCCTCAATCATACCCTCTGAACAAAAACTAAAATCGGCCAACACAGGTGTCTTGCGATGTGTGTGTGTGTGTGTTTGGGGTCTGCCCAAAGAATGGCGAAAAGGACTAGGCGTGGAACTGGGAAGTTGACGTCGAGAAGCCAACAAAACATCCCGGAATTGGAAGCCGCACCCCCCCCACCCCTCCCCCACCAAAAAAAGACAACAAACAAAGACCAAATAAAACGATCCCTCCCTCCCCCCAGAAAATAAAAGCAACACCTAAAAAAAGATCCAATTAAATACCTCCTTCAAAAAAAAGAAATGATACAATCCCAGCCCGCTCCCCGCCCCCCCCCCCCCCAAAAGATAAAAAAAAAACAAAACACTTAAGTAAATAAAGCGATCCCCAACAGAGAAAAAGAAGAGTAACAAATCCTACACGATGTGGTTCCTTTTGGCTTCACATTATCTCATGGGTTTCAGCATGTTTCAGCGTTTCCTTTTCGCCTCTTCAAAAACTTATGTTCCCTTGTCCAACAGGTCAAACAGTGTGTTCTGTTGCTATCTGCAAAGGATGGGTGCCTATTCACAAGCATTTGTGTTCCACCTTAGGAAGGGTTGCGACACAAACTCCGGGTTTTCTGCTGGCCCAAAAAAAAGTCGCCGGATCGATCGCGGCGAAATCGCATCGATCGATTCGTTCGCCTCCGCCAGGGACAGCTGCGCCTTCTCGCGGTTCTTGTTGGAGGCCTCTCGACGGCGGGGCGGGGTCTCGCTGAGAACCCGAGCCGTGGCGCCGAGTTGGAGTTGCTGCCTCGTGTTTTGTGGGTTTTGTAGGGGCATCGCAAAGGGAAAACCAACAACCATTTTGCTTTTGGGGGGGTCCCCAAAAGAAACACCACTGCATGTATATATATATGCATTATTTGGGGCGCGGGGGTGTTCCGCAAAACAAGGCACACACACACACACATGTTGCCACCGGATCTGAGTAGAACAAGTCCTATTAATAGCGGCCGTTCCCGTAAAGTAATGAGGTCTCCGCATGGTGAGTCAATCAGGTCGCATAGCGTGGCCGTTCAACTCCAAACCTAGGACTCTAAGCTTTGCTTTGTTCAGTCAAGGGCAAAGATGTGAGATGGTACCAAACCTTGGCTCAGTGAGCTACAAACAGTACAGCATATACCCAACCCATGGACCCATGTACAGCTACCACACATTTGGATATTTGCCAGGAAATGGGTGGGAAATCCAGAATTGGGGTCCACTTGCTAACTGATTGTTCCTCACAGGGAATCAACGGCTGGGAATGAAACGTTTCGGACACCCGTTAAAGGAAACCGTCTGGGATGATTCAGTTCGGGGTCAATTCCACTGCTCTTTCCCTAATTGAACCGATCGCAAGTTGCTGAGTCTGGCTGAGAGTTTTATGGTACTCGCAACCCGCCATAGCACTTTGGTCAGCACCAATTGAAGGGAACCAGAATAAACCCATGGTGGTTTCACAGAAATTCCCAGTTGAGAGGTTTGGGTCCTGACGAGTGTGGGAACGGTGGGAGTTTTCTGGTAAATTCCTAAGAACCATTGCTGGGGCTACCCCGCAAATGCAAGTGCTACCCTACTATGGCTTGTTCTCAGGGGTTCTCATTTCAACTTTGGGTTTCGCAAACGGAAGGCTTCCCCAGAATAGGACAGGCAAGTTTGTCTGGCATCGGTTGCACATTGGTTGAATGGGTTTCACGCTCTAAACAATATCCTCTTTTTTCCTTTTTTTTGGGGGGGGGGGGTCGGGACGCTTGCTGGTTCTCAGAGAATTTCCTAAGGGATGGTTCAGTTGGATGCCTCCCAATTCTAAGACAGGGCCCTCTATGTTCCCTAAGGAAAGGGTCCCCAATTTCGGACCCAACAAAAGTCGCAGGCTCCGAAACAGCCATCCCCTTTGTGAACAAGCCTCATATGCTTGCCTTCGAATCGCAACCCGGGAAAAACGATTGGGGAAGAAAACAACTGGGGTTGCAACCAGGAAAATGCAAAAAAAAAGCATTGGTCTCCTTTGAACAACGCCACCACATAATATCATAGGGACCCTCAAAGGCAAACGCGCACAGGCCTCCCAACAAGCTTGGGATACGCCCTTTACACCCACAAAAACTTGAGGCTCCTTCAGGATTCCGAGCCTCAGACAGGCTCAACACACCTTCAGCATTCCAGCCTGAAATTCCTGCACTGCTTGCTCGAAGCTCGACAAAGTCTCCTCGAAGTCCTTCCCGCGAAGACTCGAACGGAGGAAGAAAAAACATTCCAGAACCTGCGCCTGAACATGATCGCTTGCCCAACAGGACATCCTCGCCCGGCCCAGGCCTCTGTGCCTCGGGCCTAAAAAAGGATTGTCATCGTCCAATTTCAATTTGGGTCCCTGCCGTTGGTTGAATGGGGGTTGAACCCCAAGCCACAGTTTCTCCTTCGCGCGATGCCACGACGCCTTGCATCGAAAACCCCGGTGACTGCGCTTTCAACCTGCTCAAAGGCTCTTGGCGGGGTGAGTCGTGGTGACATTGTCTAAGACGGAGATCACTGAAAACATCATTGGGACTGTCCCATACCCTTCTAGCCAAATCGATTTTGAGGCCGTGACTCCATGAAACGGACGTCAGAGTAACACTGCCCCCTCCTGCAGGGTCTCCTGTGCGGCTTCCACCTGCTCCTGCAAGCCACGCAAAAGAAAACGCTGCACACAAAAGGTATCAGCGCTGGTTTTCTCCGCGCGGTGCTGGGGAGAGATGTGGTGCGGCTCAGGCCGAATTACAGGCTCGAAGATTCCAAAAGTGTCCTGTGATGGATCTGCACGCTTTCAGAAGGCCCGCACTTGTGAGGATCTACTCGCAAACAAAACTGGAGCATGGATGCTGAGGTCTCATTCGTTAAGGACGGGCGTGTTGGGTCTGGCTAAACTGGGCGAATCAGGAGATCAATCTAAGCCAAACAAACAATTTGCTTGAAGTATGGTTTGGCTGCGCACAATAGACTGTGTGTGTGTGTGTGCGTACGTGTGGCAATGTGTGTGTGTGTGTGTGTCATCTCCGGACAAGTCGTGCGCTCGCGCACCACCTTGAAGGTAAGCCCAAAGTAAAGGGACATTTCGGGGGGGATAGACCAAAATAATCCAAAGTGAAACTCATTTGACATGCCCTCTTTGAAACAGTTGTAGGAGTAGACAAGGGGCTTTTTCAAGAGGATGGCAGTCCTTCTAAACTCTCCTGTCGCTTCCGTTGGAAAGAGGCTACCCATTTCATCCCGTTGCAAACATGTTCTTGAGCAGACCCGAGCCAAACCCAAGCCCAAGCTCACTTGCCCAACAACCTGGAAAAGGGTAAACCTTCTGGGGTCACTACAAATAGACCAGAATAACACCAAGCTCACTTGGTCAAGGGACCTGGAAATACAGGCCTAACCTTTTGAGGTCATGACGAATGGGAGGTGGGCGCCCAGGTCAGATCCGGTCGATTCGCTTTAATTTGGGCAACGCAAGTTGCGAAGCCTCCGGACGCCTCGAAGCGGGGCCCCGCCTGTGTCACCGGCACGCTCTTCGTCGTCATGCCGATGGGGCGCAACATCGGACTGCGCGCCAACATGGCGAGATCTGAGCGCTCCGGTTTTCAAGCGTCGCGGCGTCAAACCGAAATGGGGGGCGGGGGCGGGGGGGGGGTGGACAGAACCGGTTTGAGCAACGGCTGAAGTGGTTGCTGTGGTTTGTCGCTTTTGTCACCTGAATGTCAACAAGTGCCGCAGGGTGTGTTTTCACCACGTTGCGTTTTTGTTGGTCTGCACAAGGGAGGGAACTGTTGCAAGAGTTGTGGTGGACGAAGACAGGGTGCGTTTGGCTTTCTCTGCGTTTGTCCATCCAGACCGGTTGATGCCAGACATGGCCCTGCCAGCAAGAGACTTGCCTCACGAACCCCAAGTGCCCCAGCTGGAGCCAAGATCACGCGGAGAAAGCTCAGGGCAGCTCGGCAACCCCGCAGCCAAACTGAACCCACTGCCTCGGAGTCAAATGCTTGTTGTGCAAACCATTGAGCTAGAAACTTTGACAAGTGCCCCTTTCAGCAAATCATGTTGGCTGAGGGCTCTCAAGTCACATTTCGAGGTGCGAGGGACTGAACTGCCAACTTTCGGGCCGCCAGTTAAAACTCTGACAGCCACAAACAAGACATGGCTCAGAAAACAAGCTGAGCAGCACTAATTAGTTTGGCTGGCAAGCTTATGCGTTGAAAGACACTCCGACATTCTCGGCTTCCGGAATCGGACCACGCACACTCGGGGTGGTGCTATGGCAGAAAGACAACCAAAGAAGCTCTTCGTGCAGAAAAAGCTTCGTACCTGGAGTCTGCATGACCGTTTAAAATGGGGTCATGACCCCATGATTTTGGGTAATGACCCCAGTTTAAGCGGGTCATGCAGACTCCAGGTAGACCTTTCTTAGAAGCGGTTGCGATCAAGGGTTTGGAGAAGAACCATTCTGCAGAACCATCTCAATATTAGGATAAGAAGACAACTCCGAAAGCGATCACTCTGGTCGTTTATTCTGGATTGTCCCAAATGCACATCATGGCGACTGTTTCCCTGGATGAGCGACGATACAAATAATTTGCAAACAATGGCAGCATTGAATGCTTCGAACCACGTCACTCGACTTTGTTCTAAAAAGATCCTCTGTAGTGTGACAGCACTGCAACAGGCAAACCACTACCATCTGGCATAGGGATGAACGATTGAATTTGAACCCAGGAAATTGGTGGGCCTGCTTTGATTTCCCTGAAAGGATTCATGAAAAAGCAGACACATGTCTCTCCTATGGCGGTTCCCAGCGCTGTTCGCTTGGCCTCCTTAGGCCATGCCATGCCTCGCCCCGGCCCTGAGGAAAGCACTGCCACTGATGCACCATGGAAGGCGAGCGCGTCGCCTGGTCTTGCACTTTTCTTTGGGTGTGACGGTCCGCTTCCTGGAAATGGATTTAGTGCTGAAGCTTCGCTTTGACCCTACAGTGGTGACCTCTTCAACAATGGGCACGCGGCCACTTTTTGCTTATGGGAACGAATGGAAATTAGCTATGTGACTAGTAACCCCCAGTTAGCAAAGCTTTGTAAGTAGAATCCCCATCCATTTGGCTATACCCCAGACCATCTAATTTGGCCGCATTGGGTATCAGTGCAAGTGGCAAAATAGTTGCAAGAGTTACTCCGAAACCAACAGAAAACCACCAGTGACAGTGTCACTTGCTCATATGCACAATGGCTACTGATATATGTGCTCATCGCTTTAGCCCTTGAGTCAGAAGCTGTATGCATGTTTGGTTCACAAGACCGATGAATCAGAGAGCAAACCGCCAAACAGCAGCACCATTTGGCTGTGGTAGAAAATGGAGTTTGACAAATCGACAGATCTGCAATATTGACAGAAGCTGTGAGCATGTTGCCTGGGGCAATACCGCATGTTGCCGTGATACAATTTGCCTCCTTGCAGTCACAGGCAAAGTCGCACAACCCTCCAGCGTACCCTTATACCAGTCCTACGCGTGTCCGGGCAAATACGTGTGTACATATATATATATATATATGTGTTGATATATATATATATATATATGTATATATATATATGTCAAAGGCCTGTAAGGAAACCAGGTCGCCAAGCTAGTCCGCTTGCGATTTGATTTGCCCTAACTTGTCTTGGCAAAGAGTGGATTGCTTGATTAGCTTAGTGATTGATTGATTTATCAATTGATCGATCCATTGCTTCTGAAAACTTTGCAATATATCCCAAACCTGAAAGAAACAATCCCCAAAGGATCTTCAACATGGTGAGCTCGTTTTACCCCCGAATCGGTGAGCTCGCGAAACAAGAATGTGCAGATTGATTGAGTCCTTAATTGGTTCATTGAGGGGGATCCGCCCAACACATCTCACCATCGGAGTGAACCAGGCGCTGGAAGACCTCAAGCGCAGTGGAGGCCTACGCAAAGGACGCCATCTATTTTGGTACCTGGATTTCCCCATCTGCACGGTTTTTTGCACTCGGACATGAACGTGTTCGTCTTTGTTGACAACCATTGCAGTTCGCTCAAAAAGTGATCCCTTTCCTCAATACGGAAGGAAGAGGGACAGCTAAATTTCGCCCCTTGCTGCAGGGAATCGCGCCCGTGGCGCGGCCGAATTGCTTGGCCGGAATCTCATCGTCTCACACTTGTTGTGCGCGAGGTCCGAAAAAACAAAGAAAAAAAAAAAAAAAAAACACTCGCACGCGTTTTCAAAAGACGCACGCGCTCCCTCAAAAATGGCCGTTTTGCCGAAAAGAAGCCGTTAGGGCGAGGGAACAAACAAAACAGCAAAAACTGTAACCGTGGTTGGTTCAAAAACTTGGCATGAACACAGCCCAACCCTGTTGTTCAGCAAGCCTGGTAGAAAAGGGATCTGTTTTGGGGGTTGATTAGTTTTAGTGGGGAAGCCATCAGAGACAAAGGGAGAAGGGGTGCCACTGAACAACTGGGTCAAAGATTTGAAACTAGCAGCAAAGCTCAGACCATCGTTGTTCCGAGCTCAGTCCAGCCTGTGTGAGAAACCCCAACCCGGCCGTCTGAATCAATGGCCCTTGTCTTTCAGGAAGGTTCGCGGGGCGATTTCCATGTGGGTGTTTCTCAAAGTAGGGGCCGTGTACACGGATGTGCTTCCTTTTGCGTTTCCCTTTAAAACCATTCTGAGAACCCCCCCAATAATAAGAATGGACTTTAATTGGGGACCCATTTAGTTCACCAATCCCTCTCTGAGGAACCCCGATATAAGAATGCTTTTTAATGGGGGCCCATTTAGTCCACCACGCGACAGCCTCCATCCTATCAGCTCTGCCCCTGAGGCTGTGGCTCACAGATGCGTTGGCCGGGAGGGACTTGTTCACCATGCGCCTTGGACGGAGGCCTTTCGGCCATGTGCCCCGTCTGTTTGGGAAGCTTTTTCTGGTTGGCTTGAATGCCACAAAAAGAAACGGGCCCACAGTCTTGGGCTCCCCAATGCTCCTTGTTTTATCTTTTGGGAACCGAAGGACTTTCGGGGCTCTATGGACACAGTCTCACTTTTTGACCATGACAGCTCAACCCGCGGCGAGGTGACAGCCGAGACTTGTCTGCACCTTCCACTTCAAAATGGCGATTCCTACAAACACCAAGAAGCTAAGGCCTGTTCACATATTCTCACCACAGAGTGGAGCAATGCCCAATATCCATTTTTGCCTCTGACAAAGGCAGAAAATAGGAGCACCACTAGGGTTTCGGTCGATTACCCCAAGGGTCAAGACGACCATGGCACATCCCCGTATGTGGCTATCTCATGCTTCGAGGGAATCTGTTTTGAAACTCCACCCAATTTGAGGGTTCCCTGAGCCACACCCTACAGGGGGGATGTCACCCACCAATTTGAAGGACTTCCCGCTAAACATGATGACACGTTTTTCAACCACCCCAAGCATGAGAAGGGACCTGTTGAAGGGGGCAGGACCTCCATTTCTTTTGGGTCTTGGATCAGAGACTCCATGGGTAAACCAACCACAAGCCAAGCCACGGCACAGGATTGCCTTGTTCCAGTGGCGAGGTGGTGCCAGGTCTTAGAATTCATGGCCACCGTCTGACGTTTCTCCGTTGCTCATTGTTATGTGGGTGTGTCTTAGAATAGGGAACCACCCCAACAATTTTTTGCGGTGGTTCCCTTTTGGTTCCTCTAGAGCACAGTACCCTCAAAAAAGGCGATCCACCCATTTGTGTGGTGTGTCTTTTTTTGGTGGTACCACTTTGGGGTTGGTTAAAAGGTATACCACCAGAAAACCCAGTACTGTAAGGCCCATGTGGGTGTTTCTGAAAGTGGTGAACCCCCGAAGAAAAAAGAATGTGCTTTTTTCCTTGTGTCCCCCATTTTTTAACCATCCCCCAAAAACAAGGTCTACCGCTTTCTTTGTTGGTGTCCCATTTTTCCCCCATGTAACGGGGTCGCCCGTTGACGAAGCCAGGGGCCCCCGGCCAGGAGGCGCTGGCATCCGCCGCCCCAGCGGCGCCGCCGAAGGTGGCGCACACCGGCGCGCCTTCCTCGGGCCCGAGAAAAACGGCTCAGCTCGCTCGTTCAAGCACGCCTCCTGCCCGCATCCGGCCCGGCAGGATGGCCCGGCAGGGGGCCCGGCAGGATGGCCCGGTGATGGCCCGGCAGTGGCCCGGTGATGGGGTTTTTTGGGCAGAAAACCAGGCTCCTGAAGTTCCGGAGCAGATCTCGTACCTTGGTTGAAACCCTTGTAACTGTTGGTAATTCCAGGGGAAGCGAACCATGTTGGGGTGACCTGTGCATGGCTGCGACATCCAGTTCGCAGCACCGTTCAGAAACCCAAAGGAATGGTTCGATTCCCTAGAAATGCCAGCAGTTACAATGGGGGAAACCATAGTTTCAACGTGGTGCAGGATTTTGTCCATCCACAGTAGGTCAGGACCACCCCCATGGTGCAAGGGTTTGGCCGGTCGGTTGGGCCTAAAGAATGCCCTCAGATTTTGACAGACCCTGAAAATAGAAATGGGGTTGTCTCAAAATAGGATCGGGCCTTAGGCCCAAGCTTTGGTCCCCGTAAAAGGAAAAAAAACAACGCCAGTTGGAGGGTTTCTACGGTTCCATTCC